TGTGTGTGTGTGTGTGCGTGCGTCTACATATGTTTTTTGTACAAACAAACAAGTGTGTGGTACATGTCTATGTACACGTGTGTAAGTGCATGTGTCTGCGTCTATATATATATATGTATACATATACATATGCATATGTACATGTATATCCTTATAGTAAGTATGTATGCATGCATGCATGCATGTATGCATGTATGTATGTATGTATGTATGTATGTATGCATGTAATATGTGCGTGCACATTTGTAGGTCTTATCTAACCACCTTTCTACGTCCATATTTATTTGTTTGTTTATTTATGCGGAAATAGATTTACTTGCTCGCTTTTACTGATATATCTATTGATGTAACTATTTACTAATTTATTTATCTACGTATTTCTCTATTAAATCACTCTGCACTATGCCGTACTATATTGTGAAAACGGTCTGTTCTATTCTAAAGCCATTTTTTCCAGGGCACTCCTGCCGAACTAAGAGCATCGATGCCGGCCTCAAGGAAAGACTAAGCGAGATCAGAAGCATCAACTCTATCATACATATGGTATACAGTATAATAACATAGAAAGGAATAGAACATAATGGAATAGACTGGAATAGGACGAAATACAATGGATAGTACAGGAACATACAGCAAAATATTTTACAATGTACCTAGAGTACTCCTCTGAATCAACGTGGAGTACTGCAATGAACATAGTCCTTACTTTTTCCATGAAAGTTCCGCGTCCTTCGTGGAGATGTAGGAGGATCCCCAGCAAACGGCATTGAAGAGTGTGACACCCTTCCAGAAGTTGCCAGGCAGGTTTTCCACGATGTCCTTGCAGAAGCTGGTTGGTGGCTCAAGCTCAAGCTCCGAGGCGCATTTTTGAGCTTGCAACACCGCCACTCCGATCGCGTTTGAATCCCTGCGACGATCCTTCCCAGGCATCACCTCTTGCCGGAGCCAAACAGCCTGGACACAACAACGCCACACGAGTCCTAACGAAGAGTTGCCGGTCTCTCAACCACCTTGCTGAGCCGTACTGTTTTCTAACTCATATCACAAGTTCACACTGTCGCTTCAGCGCCATGCTATGCAACGCGAGAAGCCTGCTGAGGGCTTGCACCGCGATGCACGCCAGGCCGTCTTTGCTCCTGTGGACCTGAAGCTTTGAACAGCAAGAGCTTCTCCCGATTTCAACGACAGTCAGTCTGGCAAAGCACAACTTGAACTTCGATGCCAAGAACAAAGTACAACTACTAGCATCATGGACAGGTGTGACGACGTTTGAATCGTCAGTTTCAGCACGGTTCATGTAGGCAGGGGGTCCAGTGGGCATCCACTTCCCGGTCCGGTGCGCATCCGCAGGTTTCGGGGTTTAGGCCATGGGGTTTAGGGTGTGGGGCTACGGTAGGGTTAAGACAGGGTAGGGTTGAGAGTTTAGGGTTGAAGCTTTCAGCTTCAGGGTTTAGGGTTAGGGACCCAACCCGTAGCCGAACCCATGTAAGACGTATAAACACCATAAGGTCGGGAAATCCGGGCGTACGCTAGCCCGGCCCGGAATGTGGATGTACACTCGCCCCCCCCCCTCCCCTGCGTTCACGTACAATACGGCAGCGCCTGGGACGAAGGCCGTCCTGACTGAGTATCTCCTGGGCTTGACAAAGCCAGCATGAAATCTCGACAGGGAACCCATGCCTGGGTCACAAGCATCACGCACGGCTCCGCCAGTGTTCTAGAAAAGCTACAGAAGACGAGACGCCTGCAAGACACCAGAGCCAAGACCATCAGCAGGGACAAGGACACAGTGGTGGAGCTCCTGCTCCTGTGCCGGGAAAGACAGAATTTCGAGGAATACACAACAGCCAAAGCGAAGCCCCCACCTTCGAGCCATGGCTCTGCTAGAAGTGGAGGCCGCCATGCTTCTTGCGCTACAATGGGCTTCTGGGCCAAATGGCTCGGAACGCATCGCTAGCAGAGTTCGGTTACCTTCACCTGCCTGCTAGCTACGAACAGATGCAACACTGGGACCTTGCAACCTGCGGTGGTGGAAGACAATCCCCGTTGCCTGCTTCACATGCTCGCGCTTCCAGTACAACTGTGACTCATAGCTGAGGTGCTTTGGTGCGACACGGTTTGACACACCTTCATGGCCGATGTTTTCCGCGGCCTGGATGCTACTTGGAAAAAACACCCGCGCTTCCGCTCGAATGAGGCGATCGCTGATACTGGCAGCCGCTGCACTGCGTGAAGAGAGGGCACCTGCAGACGCTCACTGAACGCATCTTTGAGAGCTGCTCCTGTCGCAGCGGGCGAACTCGCCCCCGGACCCGGCCTAGGCGCTGCTCGCTCGGGGGAGGCTTCCAGGATGCGGCACAGCCGAGCCTCCCCACGAACTCGAAACAACTCCGATTAAAAAATCCCGAACTTGGAATTCAGCTGTATAGAACTTGTAAAGGCACTCGACCTGCAGCCTTGCCTCCGAACGGCTGCGGTAGTTCCGCACAATCCGCAGCCTTGCCAAGCCAGGAAGGCTTTCGGCTGCAATGGTCCCACGCTTCGCTGTGCTTCCCTTACCTCTAATGACTCTAGGACTCTAGATTCTGGAGGTCTGTGCCACCAGGAATCTAGAAGCTGGTCCAAGTCCTGATGTCCCAAACCTCTTCAATCCTCGAAACTTGCCAGGAATGCTGAACAAGCTCGCGTGGCAGTGCGCCAAATATCATGACCTCGGGGCACAATCTGGCTCGGAGCTGTGAAGCGGCAAACGCGAGTTTGGTAGTGGTCTGCTGAATTTCATCGACAAAGCGACCACCCATCGCGTCGGACCAATCCGCCCGAGAGCCTGGCATCTCTTGCATTTCCGCAACAAAAAACACAAGGAAACCCGGTCTCTCATCGCCAAGCCAAGCCTTCTGCCTAACATTTCGAGAGCACTCAAAAACGAGAAAAGCCATGCCACGGAACTCTGCACCTGCCCCGAGCTGGTCAGCGTCTCCATTCGCATTTCCAGAACCTCGCCCTCCTGGGGTGCTCGTGGAAAAACTCTCCCACTGATACCATGTCAGATGCAGAAATTGCTACTAGTACCTGTGTCCGTGAGAGAACACTACCCCGACCCCGATGTGCCGCAAAGTCGATCTCAACTCTTCATCGCACCTTCACAGGAGGCCCTGTCGACGCTGCTCGGCAAGAGCGACACCTTCTGCGCGCGGATTTTCAAAGCATGACACGTTGTGTCGACCACGGCCGTGGCTCGAAGCTGGATCGAACAACTTTCTCCAGCACCCTCCACGAGCGACCTGGGCACGGGCGCCCACAGCGCGCATCGCAGGGCTGAGCCTCCAAAGCAGGCTGAGATAAACCTGTAATGCATCTCCGGCCGCGATCATAAGGTACCGGAGATGCGGATAGATGTGCACTTCCCTACAAGTTCGTCCCTGTCGCTTCTCTCGGCCTGCCAGAGGACGACCTGCCAGGCCCAGTGGCGAGCTCCTCAATACGGGCAGAGGTGATGAGCCTTAAGGGGGGCAAGACAACTATCCGATGCCATGATATCCAAACTCCACGAACATGACACTGTGCGACAGATGAAAATATCCACACCACTCAGGAGGGGAGGCCTCGTGGTCCTGGATCAAGGGAATTTTCGAGGGCCGCATAAATCTTTTGGGACACTAACAGGCAACAGCTTCTTCCAGCGTCGGTAAGCCGAACGTCCGTGCAAGCGAGCGGCCTCTGTGCCATGGCACAGAGCCGATGTTGAATCGTCGCTCTCTCTATGCGGAGATCAGGTCATGATCTGGGTGCTAGAAGAATTGACAGCTACGGGGTCTGGGAAGGTTTCAGTTCAAATCTCGATGACTGACATGAGCCTGAGGAAGCGCAGGACAGGTTGTAAGGACAAGACGGTCTGCCATGGTAAACTTCTCAGCAGCAGCAAGGTTCGTGCGAAATATGTTAGAAAAACATGGCCGGCACACAGATCCACATGTTATCGCTAGCCGCCAACGCTATATTCATGCTGCCTCCCTCTCTAAAGCTCTGCTAACATGCACAGCCTTTCTTCCCCGCTGCGCTCGTAAGGAACGTGTACAAAGGCCCCTGAGCGAAGGTCACCACTAGCCAGTCCGCCAGCGAGATCTCATCGCTCGCAGCTCATGGCCACATAGGCTGTGAGGCAGCCTGCTGGAATCTGCTAGATGTGGCTTGCGCCAGAAACGAAAGTTATGCCGTTCTGCCCAAGCGGTACTTGATGGCCTCCAAAAATCACGCTGCGACATGCAGCCCTGCCGGCTACCGACCGTCAAACCGACTCAACTTCCCTCCGCTCAGCCGGGGGAGCTTATCCTCTCTTGGCTGCAGGCCTGGCGACCGGTGACGTTGAACAGAGGGCATTCGCGCATTCCAAGGGCAAAATCAGCCGAAGGGGAAGGGCAAATGCATGGGCAAGCCACGCTTCTGTTCCTCCTGCAAAAACGTCACCACTCCTCTGAAACTATCATCACGTGTCGCAAGGCAGAAGAACTTAGTGAGCTTGGCACAGGTATCTCCAATCCTGCTTCAAGAACCGTGCGAGCACCCAGGATGCATCGCACAGTTCACGCAAGCGTCTCGTACACTCCGATGACATGACCCAGTTATGCACTCTTTCAGAACGTCGACTACGACCCGCTTTCATGCACCTGCGCCGAACAGATGATGCTTGGGACCTTTCACCTGAGAGGAGGGCAGTCGAGGATAAGCCAGATTCGCGGCAGCGTCAAACGCTTGTTTAAGTCGTTGACTTTCGAGTCAACTTTCATTGACCAGAATTTGCCTATCTAAGAATCTGACTGGCATGATGTCGCCATATGTGATTCTGGAAGCCTCTGCGTCATTCCTCGAGCTCCGTTTGAAAAGCCTCCACAATCAAAAGCACGGCACACCTGAATGACCTGCACGCTGTGCGATAGCCCTTCCTCGAACTTTCCGCATGCCCAAACCCACAGCTGCTTCCCATGCGTCGCAGATGTCCAGAAGCCCAAATTCACCAGGAGCCCCAAATGGGGTCTCGGCGCTGCTTCGCTGAGGCACGGCGTTGAAGTGCTGGGACCTGGGAGGCGCAGGAGGCGGTGTCAAAGGAAAGAAACTAGGTAGGTTCTAATGGAAGGGTTTCGGGCTCTCTGTCCTTGGCCTGCTACTGCACCAGCAGTCAAGTTGAGGCGAAGGGCGATGGCTCAGAGGCCCTTCAGTTCCCAAACCTTTTCGGCGGGACTCTTTCGAAATTTGTCAAGCTTCCACAGGCTCAACCCCCTTCCATCTGTCCTCGACTTTGAGTGCAGGCACGGCCATTGTTCATCTGTGGATAAATTATCTTCTAGAGTGGATTGGTCGCACGACTGACAGGAATTTTGAGGGAAAGCCTCTGCCGAGACAAGCTCTCGAATCTTCACGGGCACGGCGAGTCGCACAATGGCTACCCAAACATGAGACTGGTGAGACGAGGGGGCTACCCGGCCGAACTCCTGTTTCTCCGAGAAGCTCGTCTGTGCTCGGTGCTTGCTGGCAGCATTAAAGGCACATCGTGTCTTTCGGTGTGGTCCATCAGAGATGAGTTGCAAACTCACCTGCGATGCACAGACCGGTCTACGGTCACGGTCCTGCACAGTAAGCATCATGAGGCATGGGCATAGGCGGATGTCCGTCCGCCGGAGGTGACAAACCTCGACAATTCAGGACATTGCCGGACCGGAGGTGGGTCGGCGGGAAGTGCAGCGAACTTTTTGCACATGCACAAAGCGGAGCTAAGCCCTCAGTGGATTGGCCGCAAGCTGATCTGCGAGGACCTGACTTGATCTCCCGACCTTTGCCATCGACAGCTTGGCTTGATCCCTTCGCCTGCAAGACCACGGACCGCACAGGGGGTTCTGGGACTTGGGAGTTCGCGCTTCTCTGGCTTACAGCCTCCAGCAGACTCGGCTCCAAACTGAGGAGCCAGCCCAGCGATAGTGGAAAAGCCATGTCCTGCGTCGCGAAGCCCCGGGCCAGGGTCCGACTGACACAAACAGCTTGTCATTGCTGTCGTTGCTACTACGTTCAGTGAGCAGCTGTGCTGGTCTTTGCTATTGCTCTTCCTATGGCTGTTAAACTATGGCCGTTAAACTTGTCATCATGCCATGGCGGCAGGAGAGGCAACATGGTGCCAGTAACAGCCGCAGGCATGGCCGTCGCTGTCACGATGATCACGACGATCACGACGATGACACTGACGAAGACCGTGACGATGATGACGATAACCATGATGCCGATGCTTCACAGGACCCGAAAATGCTGGGACCCGACCTTGGATACCTCGCGGCGTCTGCTCCGGCTTTGCAGGCCACCGAGATCACCAGACGAAGGCTGCGGTGCAACTTGGCGACCTGGGCGAAAACGGAACCGAAAGTGCCTTCTCGTGCGCGCAAGCGCCTTGCAAACATGCCCAAAGCCCCATTGCAAGTCAAGGGCAAGGCAGCTGCTGGTGCCAAGTCGGAGCAGCGTTCCTGCGGCGACGTCTCGCAGCACAGAGCACTTACCTCAACCTCCTTGCTTTCTCGCCTGCTTCTTGCCAATTTCCGAACACATCGAGAAAACAAGGAATCAAAGCCCGCCACGGTCGTGCCTGCGGGTGAATTGCAGCCTGGAACAACCTTAGTCACTCAAGGGCAGAGAATGATGTGACTCGAGTTGGGCCAGAACAGGCGCGTCGATTTCTGTGGCTTTAAGATTCGTTTCCTTTCCGCACTCGGAGTTCACTGATTCACACACAGCCTGGGACTTTGACACCTCATCAGCAACCCAGTTGCCGACCTCAGCAAGCAGCGAACAGCTGGGAGCTTGCGTTTGTGCCAAAGCAGTACAGGTGATCTTCAAAGTGGCTTCGTCTTGCATCTGTGCAACCGGCCAGCCTTCCAAGCTAAGCTTCCATCTGCAGTTGAAGGCCCTGAAGCCCAAGGCTGGCGCCCCAGCTGCAAAGCCCTGATCCAGGAGCACTGCCTGAAAAACCCGAGAGGCACAACAAGAGCCTCTTTGGCTCAAGGACCGATGTGATATTGCGACTTCTTGGGCCTTGATGTCGGCACTTCTCCCCCCAAGTTGCTCGGCGAAGCGTGACAGCTTCGGCCTTGCCCAAGACCACGGAGAAGTGATGAAGTTCTTTCAGTCAATGCTTCCCAAGCCCGGAACATGGCAAGCAGCGGATCGAAACCTCGCCCGGGCTGGCAAGAGCATCGACAGGACAGGAAGCGGCGATCTGAGCCTCCGAGCCCATGTGACAGACAGGCGGATGCTCCCATGGCTCCTTGCACAGCCTCACAAGAAGAGACCATGAGAGGGCACTCCAAGGCAAGCTTCCGACCAAGGCCAAGCCGCCGGATCCGACCGAAGCGACGAGCGTCGGTCATCGCAAAGCAGGTGCCATCTGCCATCTGCAGCTCCACCTCCAAGCCATGCACTTCTCACTAGGAAGCAAGCAGGGGGAGAGGGGGAGGGAGAGTAGCGCTGTCGTTCTATGCAGGACTGCATGAGCTGCAAGCACGCTCGCGCGCCTTCCAGAACTTTGGTGGCCAGTTGTTGGGATCCTCCTGCTGCCGAGTCATGACTCCAATGCATTTGGCCAGTTGAAAGGAGGAGAACACTTCGGATGGGGAAGCATGAGAGAACAGCCGCAGAAGCGTGAGTGCAATGATCAGCTAACATCACTGTGGTGCGGCCGCCCAAAAACTGTGCCGTCCATGCACGGCTCCGATCTTTACGCACTCCTCCTTCTGCCTTACGTAGACGAGGGCTTTCTTGCCCTTGATGCGAAAGCTGCCAGTCCTTCGCAGGGTACAGTACACCGCTGAGACCATATCCGCATATGTTGTCGAAGCAGCTGGTGCTGGTCACAAGCTTCAGAAAAACTAGCTTACTGAGTCACCGGCATGCCGAGATGGAACATCGGAGACGGCCTGGCATGTCCACATCTCCCGATGCCGACAAGACAGAGGACGGCATTGGGCTGCCAAATCTCGTCAGCAACGCCCCTTGTCCATGTCAAACCATAGCTGCTTGCCCCAGCGCCTTCAACCAAGCACCGTCAACTCCTAGCAATCTGATAAGTTGCATGCTGCGCTCTTAGATACTTTGGCCCTCCCAGGTCGGTCTATTTTCATCCACGAATGCCTATACGCGTGCGTAAAGGGCCAAGGCAAGGGCCGGTCAATCCCTGTGTGCGAATGGGCAGGATGGCACGTTATCTCACATGCCCACCCCTGTACATCCTGTGAGCAAACTGCCTGAGGCAAATCCGCCTGAGAGACAGTCGCATTTGCATGGGGTTGATGGCGATGCAAAGGCTGTGCACGAGGCATCTGTACAAGCGTGTTCGGGAGTCTAGCACGAGTGGACTGACAGTCTGTTGCAAGCTTGGCCAAGTTCGACTCATCCCAAGACAGAGCACCAAAACACTGGGTGGTGACAGCTAGCGGCATTATCAACACTTGCGGTAGCACCACAACTGCACAACAGGCCATCCCGATTGCAGAGTGGAATTCCGCATCCGAACTGGTCCTGGTCAGCGAGAACAGAGGGGAAAGTCAGGCACTAGCGGCATCTGAAGAGAGTAGATAAAGCCGTTTGGAGCAGGGCATGTGCCATGCTAAGGCTTGCATGCAACACGTGTACAAGCTCTCACAGCTGTCACATGTGGATCGAATTCCTTGCGAAATAGCAGGTGAAACGGAAAGAGTATTTGCACCTCTGTGCAAGCGCACGGTGGACAAGCACGAGATATGTGTCCCGTGAATCCAAGCCGCCGCAGGTCCGCCGTTGGGACAAATGGAAGAAACGGCACACATCCCAAAAGTAGAATTTCAACTGGGAAGTTCCCAACTTGGAATTGGAACAAGTGAAATTCAACTGGGAAGTTCCCAACTTGGAATTGGAAGATACCTAGTTTCATGGAGATAAATGATGCTCAAGTGGAGATGGCAATCAGGACGACACCTGCACATGCTGCATGTACGGAAGGTCAGCAACATGTCGAATCTTGCTGCATGGAACCCAGATCAAAGCCCTACCAGGCACTGCACCCTGGTCTGAGATAGGCAAGCAATACACCTCAGATCCAAGTAAAGCGAGGGTCTTGTGGCAAGGATACCCACAAGAGCAAGAGCAAGAGCAAGAGGAAACAAGACTTGCCACAAGACAACGCACGTGTTGAAGCATTCCAGCACGCGCAGCGCTAATGACGCCAACATGAAGAGTCTGAGACGTACCATACCAAGGCTAGCAGAGAGCAACTACCAAGTAAGACTCGCCCCGGCCTGGCAGCCGCAGCGCCAAACCTATGCCGGCCCAAAATCGGCCTCTCTTGCTCTTCACCTTCGAGGAGTTTTCGGGGCTTCTCGAGCGAAGGTTTAAGGAACGTCTGGCCCTCCGGGCATCGCGAATCAAGAAAGACATTTTAGTGCATGTACCTGGATCGAGATGCGAGCCAACTCCGATGGCAGCTGAACATTAAGAGACGTGCGGCAGTTGCTAGTGGTCTTTGGGCAAGGCATTCCCTGACTGCAACAGGGAACCCGAAACCTTGGTGTTTCCCCTTTCGGGGGCCTCTCCAAAGAAGGCTATGCCGACGACCAGCCCGACGACACCAGGCAGGCTGCCGATGATGGGGAAGGCCACCGAAAATCCCAGCTCGATGTTGGCCTCCCGGACACACAGCCGGGTCTAGGCTTCAGGGCCTTTAGGGAGTTTAGGGAGTTTAGGGCCTTGAGAGCTTTAGGGTTTAGGGAGGAAGTTCAAGATAATCTGGCCTGGAACCAGGCAACCTGAGCAATGCCCCAAAGGACGCCCGAAGCGATGGCCGGAAGGATCATGCGGCGGGGCATGTAGCGCCTCGGAGCTCGGCTATCATCGTCTCACGCACTACGTATCAACCTCGACCTGTCACCGTGCCTCTCCCTGAGCACTCCCGAATAGACGACCATGGCCGCAGAAGCAGCCGCGAAGATGCCAAGGAAGTGGCTGAACACGTAATCCATAATCTCGGCAGGCCAAGGTAGTTCTGTTGAGAACATGACTTCGTCTATAGCTGCCCTTTACAACAGCAATCTCAGATTCTATAGATTGCATCGCTTTACGCTCTGTCCAACACTCAGACATTGCTCCCTGTTTGCACCTTGCTGGTTGACAGCCATGTATCTGGCTAATCTCTTGCCGGTCTGTTCAACATTACCGCCACTATCGAGAGAATCGTCATCATCCTTCTTGGCATAGCCAATGCTCATGCTGATGTTCGTGCTTGCTACTGCTGATTCTGGAACTAATCATGGCAATTGGAACCATGATGACAATGACAATATGAATTCTGCATTCATCACAAGAGGAGGCATAACAATCGCAGCGCATCGACACAGGATAGGCAGGGAGGTTGACAATGGCATTTCAAGGAGAATGAGTCTGCAAACTCAGGACTACATTTGTCACAGCACAGAGACAGTAGAAACAACAGCGACAACACCAACAATCATCCTGACTATCGCGATAGCAAGACGAAGTACAGAGACGATGAAGCCATCCTCAGGCTTGGTCCTAGGAGAAACTGAGGACTGCACATCTTTACTATGGTCGTCTCCGAAGCGCCCTTCCATAAGAGCTGTGGGAAGATCGAAGGTGGTTCCGAAAAACACTCCTTCCACGTCAACAGAGGGCATGGCTGTATCTCTCCATACTCTCTTCCACCTGAACAAAGCTTAACGAAAGCAGCTCCTGCAACGACCGCCATGCAAAGACCTATCGCTAAGTTGCGAGCGTCTGGATTATCAAGCGGACACTTGTCCGGACCTGATGTCGGAATCTTTCCGATCTCGAGGCTTTCCTTGGACGGCGTGGCGACTTGGTTCTCGAGATCTGTTTCACTCGCTGCAAATTCAGGGAAGGCCGTGCTGGCCGTGGAGTGCGCCCAGCTTGGCGGATCCTGGCCAGTCTCGTCTGCGGCGCTCTTTGCACTGCATGTGGCTTTCCTGGTGGCCTCACCACCTTTTGCATTGCAACCCGCTGCCAAGGAGAAGAAGATGAGGGATGTGGCGGCCAAGCCCAGGCCCATGCAGTTGAACCACGGTCTGTCAATACTCTCCTTCTTGACACCAAAGAGCCCAAATCGTCCCGTGAACCAACCCATTATCATGTTGCTCAAGTCCCAGACCGTGAGTCCGAGACCCATGCCAATCAGCTTGATGATGTAGGGGCACATCAAGTTCCCACACATCCAAATGGCCCCCCCAAAGGCGGCCCAGGGCTCAAACTTGGGCATCTCCAAGCCAGGCGGGCTGCTCAGCACTGTCCCAGCGACCAATCCGACTGCAAGGATGCCTACCGACATCAACGCAGAGAAGAAAATTCCATCTCCCACGTCGATGCCTCGGAGACATCCGACTCATCCGTTCATTTCACGCCAACAACACACCCCATGACTCCCCCGCCTTTGACCGGCAGGTAATTGATACCGAAGCCAACCTGCCAGCTGCAGCTGTGGAAATTCAGAGAAGCTCAGGCTCACTACGGTCACCGAGGACCGCGCCCCTGCTATGAGGCAGCAGCTGTAACCCAATACCCTGAGCCGACACGAAGCAGGACCCTTCTCTTGCATGTTGGCGCGGCGGTGTTACAAGCATTGATCTCAAATAACGACCAGGCACAGATCACTGGTCATCTCGGACCTCAGCCGTGATGCAGGTCCACAAGATTGGGAAAGGCATGAGAGGGAAAAAGCGAGGAAAGGTAAGGCACCGACAAGGGCACTGGATGGGAGCTTAGAGTCTGGAGCCGGAGTAGACTGAACCAGACACCAAGGAATCAAGCTGAGCAGAATCCCAGAACTAGGGCTCTTGGGATTCTAGGGGAAAGCAGCACTTTCTGTGAGCTGACTGTCACTCCGGACTCCGGGGCGGGACACGGAAAACCAAGACAATCCCATGCTGCTTGTGGCGGCAACGATGAACGCCCCAAAACGCACGCAGGAATCCGCACCGTGAATACATGCAAAGCTGCAAGTCTTTTTCCAAGTCCAGCTCCGGTTTCACAGTTCGCTGCTTGTAAAGTGACGGTTCTACCTGGCTCGAGACCTAAACCGTGCAGCGCTGCTGCAGAGTTACAGTTGCTGCCTGAACACCATCACCACACTCGAGCCGTGCGCTCTTTGACGCAAACGACATGAGATCGCATGCCACCCGATTATCAAACCAATCAAAGATTGACTCGGTTCTGGTGCTGCTTCCGCGACTGAATCTGACAAGGTAACAGGCCTACAATCGACATCCAACGACCTACATACGACACGATACAAATGCTGTCATTTACCGATGCATGTCTTGGACTTGCAGCTTCGCAACATGACCTACACGTCTTCGCGTGTCTCCGGCAAGTCGACGTCTACCTCTTCCTGCTCCAGCAGAAGCCCGCGATCCGCTGCCGTCACCTCAAACGATCATTCCGACGAGCGATGTTCAAAGAGCTTGAAAACCACTTTCTGAAGTCAAGCTGCAACCACCATGTTTCGCGATCGAGCTCTATCTTGTCCATCCTGCTCTATACCCCGTGACAGGGTTCACAGCCGCGCCAGAGAAAACACATGAAAGAAACAGAAGTACACGCGCGGCTTTGGGGCTACAGTAGGGCCATGTTTGTCCATGCCGTACAGGCCTGGCATCCCTTGGCACAGGACATCCATTGACCTTGGTCGCCGTGCCGGCGCTGGATGATGTAGCCCAGGCCCAACGCCAACCAAGCTCCAATGCAAAGCATGCCCGCCAAGTTCACCATCTGACTCTTGAACAGCTTGCCACTTGTTGAAATGTCCACCTTGTTCTCGAGACGATCGTACATGCGTTGCTGGAAGGATTGGCCTTGAAACTGGGCACCTTTCCTTTCGATGCTCACAGATGACCCCAGCTTCGCTTGAACATCGTCCGGGATGTACTGCGACACCATCTCTTTAAACCTCTTGTGGAGGTCTGGTGTTTGGACAACTTTCCTGTACAGGAACTGCAACCTTACCTCCGGAGCGTCGAGCAGCATCTTCAAGACAATGGCCTTCGGGGTGTTCTGGGTGACCTTGGATTGGGAGCTTCTCTTTATGCCTGGGAGAAGCTCTTGCTTTTGCCGAAATCAAAAAGCGAAGCCAAGGATCTTTTACCGTCACCTCGTCGGCCTTCAGTGCTGGCTCTGTGGACACAAGCTTAAGACCATCGAAGTCGGGATAGTCCCCTGCAAAGCTTGTGAGGACCTCGGATAGGGCCAGGCGGCGCCGCTGAGCCGCTAAGCTACCCTTTTTGCGGCCCCTGCCTTGACCATGGTGGACTGCAGGACGCCGAGATTCTTCTGGGCAAACCTAACCGCTCAGGACATCACAAGCGTGAGGCACACACAGCTAGTCCACACAGCCGCATAGTGTCAGCAGAGCCACTTTGGGGGATGGTGGATCGTAACCTTCAGGGGAACGCGCATGTTGCAGACCCTCGGGCCAGCCATTTCATATGCCGGGGCGATGATCACCGAGGCCGTCAGGTCTTGCACATCACATGACTTTGTGAACGTGTTGTACACAAAGCTTCGACAGTCAGTGCCAATCCGAGAACACCGGTTACGACAGTCATGCACGCTGCCCACGCTAGTCGTCGGCCAGGACTGTGGTCGCGTTATCTTTGGTGCGAAGCTGACGTTGTGGGCTAAACACGATTCAGTCATCAGTGCCTCAAAGGCTGTTTCCTCCTGGGCACCTGTCATCGCTTTGTCGCAGAAAGGTTTACCTCCCTGCCAGCCCACTCTGTCCTCGACCAGGCTTGCCATTGTTGATGCAAAGTGGCAGAGCTTCAACTCTTTGTAGAAAGAGAAGCAGCCACAAGACTCCTGCTCACGACATTTTAGCTGACACTCTTCGGCATCCTTCGTGTACTGGACTGCCATCGAGGGTGTCAGGTTCATGTCCAATGGCTCACACACCACGTTCTCTTTCACACACAACAGAGGGGAATCTTGCGTGGCCTGGTCATTGTCTGCTAGAGGTGCCCTCGACTCAGCCACAGCCGGCGCGGCCGGCTTACTCGCAGCCGGCACGGCCGGCTTACTCGCAGCCGGCACGGCCGACTCACCCGCATCCGGCTGACCCGCAGCCGACAGATCTGGTAGTGGTGCCTCCTTTGTGTCAGCCGAAGTTGAGGCGTGGATCGCGACTTTGAAGTGGGCGACTGCGTTTGAAGACTTGACCTGCACAGGAGTATCTCCGGCTCCTGGTGGTGTTGCAGAGAATGTGCCCGAAGAAGCATCGTAGTTCAGCCAGGACGGCAACTGCTCCCCGTCTTCTTGGGAGACCGTACTGGCGGGTCCTGCCGACCCTGCCGGCAGAGTATACTCCAAGGGTATTCCCACCTCTCCGACTGCGGATGGAAGCTGCACATGGCTGGCAGCCACACCGTGCACATCTGTGCTGCCGGACTCCTCCACCCGGAGCCTGAGGACTTGAGTCTTCGCTTCGTCTGCATTACTTGCCGAAATCTGCAATAGGTGCTGACCTGTATGTGAGGGCACACCAGATACAGTTCCTGTAGTCGAATCGAAAACGACCCAACGGGGCAGAACGTCGCCGGGCACAGCCTGGATCTCAAAGGTTTTAGGAGCCGTGCTGGAGCCGAAGGCAGTTGGAGGTATTGGAAAGTTCATCGGATGGCCTTTGATTGCAAGCACATCAAGTGCTGCCGGTGGTTCAACTTTATCCCGAATGGTGTAGTCTGCGATGACTGGATTCTTGAATTTTTTGTTCACAGCCTTCACAGAGACGTCCGTCGCGAGGTGACTGTCTGGTGCTGTTCCTGTCAGCTTGAGGGTTTCGGGGTCGAAGCTGAGCCAGGATGGCAAGGACTCTCCCGAGCTGGTCTCGGCACTGTAGCTCCAGCCTGTGGTGTCCAGTGAGCCTGAAGCGAACTTCTCCGCGAACTCGTCGGCTACGTTCTCTTCCAGCAGCTCACCACTGCTGAGAAAAATGGTTTTGCCTGCTGCTCCAGGGCAGCCCAAGCCATGCGTTGCGCAGCAATACTCCTTTCTTGCTGGTTGCCATGTCACGAAGTCCTGGAGCCCGGAAAGGCAGTCGTAGCCTTTCGACAAATCTTTCCCTTCCTCCTTGGCTCTCTCCTCTGCGGCCTTCTGCACATCCGCCAATGTGCCTTGCACACAGTCCAAGGAGGAGCCACAGTCGCCGTAGGCAATCCTGAAAAAGGCAAGCACTGACAAGGCCCATAGCGAACCGCTCATGATTTCAAGAGAGGCGTGGAAAGCTAGGCCCGAAAGCACAAGACCTGTGAAAACAGATTGAGAAGGATTCCAGCGATACTTGTCGATGTAATCACTAGACAACGAATCGTCGGTGCTGAGTGCAATCCTGCGATCCACAAAGCCACCATGTAAACATGCACGAGTGCAAAAAACTGTTCTGCGCTTCGACAACCTACTGATGTTCTAGCGCCCTATAGGACCTAGGATCTTCATCGTGTATGTGCATGACAGAGCTGCAAGCACGTTTTTTCCCGGCAATCCGAGGAGGACCGAAGGCAAACTCGTTCTGAGTTTACGGCCACGAGAACAACTTCGGAATCGGAGACTGTCTATACATTCATCCAGGTGCCTGTGCTTCGGAGGCTTGGAGAAGTTGCTACCGGGCTTGCTACCGCGTGACGAAGCGATTAGCAACACATCTAGAATTCTGTTCTATGCCCAGGGAAGATGAGCATGGACGCAGAACTTCCAAATCTGCATACACCTGTAAAACTGTTGCCATAGCTTGTCTGCTGTCAAGTGACAAAAGGCAGGATGCCGAGGGTCCGACATGAAAAATGCGAAAGAAGGCGACACGAGCAGTGCCGACAGCTTGATTTCAATGAGTTCTGCCCTGCTGGTTTGCTGGGCAAGCATTCCAAATGCCAACAAATGCTTGAGCTAATTCGCGTCAACCAAAGATCTGCCGAAAGGCCGCTTACCGACTTATGCAGCTCGGGCGGCCATGTTCATGATCGCGACCATTGCTACCTATGTAAGGATTCTCAGACATCAAGCACACTGACGCAACCAACGCGCCTGGACTCTGCATGTCGCTGTCGCGGCTGCCACCGGCGTTGCAGGAACATCAGCATTCGGCAGCTTTCGGCTACATTCCGCTCTCAACAGCCCTTCTAGAGCTGAAAGACTCCGCTGGAGAAATGAAAATCTGAAAAAAACGCGAGGAATTAATCGCTACTCCAATTCAACCGCGGTGGAGCAAGCTGCAAAATCAAACACAGTTCCTTGACTGTTCGCTTGCGAGAACGACTGACTGCGACGGCACCGGGCCTGCAAGCCACAATTTTCCGATTGCACAACTTGCGGGCAAATGTTGGCGGCTTGACCTTGACTTCGCATATTGATTGCATCAACATCAACGATGGTACATGCATGATGAATGCACACAATGCAACCCTGTGTCAAATCACACCAAAATGCCAATGAGCACCGGCCACTGTGGACAGATGCCTCGTCAAAGACGATCTTGTCGCTTGCGGCCAACACACGTTTGATCCTGCCATGTACATCCAGACTCGTCCAACACGTCAGCACATCAGAACCACATGATGCAGGGATTGGCTAGGAAGTAAGAAACACAATCGTATGTGCATACAAAACATGCCGCAACTGTCTTATCTGGCTTATTGAACACAAACCATGGCAAGCCTCTTCCCGCAAAGCCAGCGCTCCGCCAAACGCCGCGAGAATTCGCACTCGGGCAGCTCTGGCCTTGACACTGCTCAATTTGAAGCTCATCTATCAACATCACACGTAGGTTGACTCAAAGAACACAATGCCGATTGCAATGCCACGACAGAGTCTCATCAACAAGGGCGCTGCATTTGCTTCACAACCGCGTCATTTCCAAATTGGGGCAAGCGTGAATTGCAACCTTGTATTCTGCTTGCAACCCACACTCACCGGTTTTGCGGCCGAGAAAAACGATGCCACGCTGGATGCTTATGGAACTCATGGTAACTTATGGTAAGCTCATACATGCAAACGTAAAACATGAGGATCGCAATGCAAAAACACTGCGTCAAGCAAGCGTGCCGGCAAATCAAGATATGCAACGTGAGTGTCGTGGTTCCGCAGCTCAACTTGACAGAGTTTGCATGTTTAGCAAAAATGAGCTGCTACCTTTTGCGATTGTAACCGACAAATGCCAAAACAAAGGCTATGTGCCCACATCCGCCAGGGCGCAAAAAGGAGCGGGCGGCAGGCCGAGGAGAAACGAGAAGAATCGCGCAGAATCGGATGGTGAAACGTTCTCCACAAGACGAACATGTATTTTATGTGGCCAGCATGGTGGACAAGTTCATTCCTCCAAATCAAACTACACTGATATATCTCTCTCTTATGAAGCGGGGTG